TGCAAAAAAATATTTCCGTATTGGGTGATCCAATTGCTAACTCGGAATGGCAGATAAATTCAATGGCTCTAAACTTTAGATAATTATCACTAGGAAAGCATTAGTACGTCTCTTAGTAAAGCCATATCAATTCAGACGTGAACCGTTCAACCTAGAAAGATTCCTGTAAAAATAATTTCTAAACTGTGCTGAAAAAGATCTCCAGTACCTTAGCAGCAGAAACTGCAGATTCAAGGAACAGCGTCTTTGACTGATTTCTAAGGATGATGCCGTATCGGATTATTTCATAAATTTTTGTAACGTGTAAGGCATCTGTTCAAACAAGAACAGTTGACTTTCCTAATTAGCTATGAACACTAAAGTCGCCTTGAACCTCGGCTGACGTTTCCAACGATTCCACGAACGTTCTGCCAACATTTGGATTGACAGCAAAGAAACATATTAGACATCTTTGTCTAAAGAGTGGGAAAAAACGCAATCTAATACCCGTGGGGAATTAAAGGAACGCCAAATCTGTCATCATATTCACCACTTTTGCTCATCTATTGAGCAACAGAAGGCTTTGGTTCATAGAGCAACACGTGACCTCATACAATTGATGCGGAAAAAGGAGAGGGAGGAGATTTCCAAACATAATCTTATTAAGAAGATGCTTATAGTCATGAAGGCCTTTTCTTCGTGGTTTGATAATCCATTTTCCGGAATCGGAAGCGATCTGTTATCAATTTCCATCGAGTATCGATTTCATCAAGTAGTCGGTCGAGGAAATTTCATAGTGATCAAAGGCACCGATTACAATCAGTAACTAGGTGAAGTTAACCAATGATTGTGCAAATGAAAAGAAAAAAGGCAAGTTTTTTTTACTGCCGTCGAATATAACACGCTGTTTGACCCGTGGATTTGAAGTAACACTTTTAAAATGAAAATTAAACATTACTCTTTTTGACATGCCAATTTTTTGATTGAAAGTGACAATTCTGGAACTCCAAATAATCATAGTGTACATCGCTGCCGTAAATAGGGTAAAAATATTTATATATATATATATATATTCTAGTTTGAAAACACACGAAGAACCACACGTGCGAAAAAAATCAATTATCTGCCTTACAAAGAAAACCTGAAATTAAATCTAACTCGTTATGAATAACGCCTTCACCGTTAAAGATATTTCATTAGTAACGTTTTTACTTAATAATGTTTGAAAAATCGACTGGAACTTAACATAGAAGAGAAGCTAAACGTACTCTCTTCGAATCGAAGTAGTAGGCTCCTACCAGAATGACATAAATTTTAGTGCGGTAAATCTTTATGGTCGCAAACCTCTCAGCTCTCCAGATTTAATATTACGTATACAATAATTTTGATAACTTGCTAAGACGCAAAGCCACAAACTCATAAATACCTCCGGTTTTCTCTCTACCAATGCTGCGAGGTCCGAAATTTCGTGTCTTCTGAATTACCTTGCATGAAAAAAAACATTGGAATTCTTCCAGTTCCTTCAAGGCACGATATTAATTAAAAAAGCTGCCAACTGTTAACTATTTGCATACTTGGGCGGCGAAACTTGCTCCTGAGCTGCCGACGTGACACTGTTTATAAACACGCATCCATCTTAATCATCACAAAAAGATGATTGAAAAAACATTTCAGGGTATTAAAATTTTTGAAAAGTATTTTGCATTTTCCAAGTGGCAGCTTAAAGTAATTTTTTTCTACCTTGACACAGACTGTCGCAAAAATAAAAATCCATTCAGAATCGACAAAAGCGGGGAATTATGGCAAAAAGCTCTAATCAGGGTTGTTTGACAGCTAGTCAGTGAATTTTTCTTCTTTAAACACATTGTACATCACATATTGTTTTTTCACGTTCCTTTTACATAGAAATGCGTAGATATATACGCGCAAATCTGTCTGCATAATACCACGTTTTGGCCTTTCGTGTAAAAATATCGATTGCCTCACTGGTATATAATTATAGACAATCTTTAAAAGACTGATTAAAATCGCGATAACAATCGTGACATATGACTCAAATGTCGAGAAAGAAATAATAACAGCCAGTTAAGCTTCATTGAAAAACCAAAACGCAAACGAAAGTGAATCATAAATTAAAGTATCTTTATCTATCGTGAAACGTGCACACGTCATCACGAAATGAAACAACACGCGTGCTGCTCGGGCACATAATGAAATCTATACTGTACACGTTATGAAAGCAACCGAAGGTTTTTTTTTTTCTTTTGCTCTAGGATGCACTGAAGCGATTTTAACTTGGATAAACAAAGCGTCTATGGAAGCAATGGGCCATATTTTGAGCGTGATAAACGCTCGCGGGATGTGGGAAGGGCGTCAGAAAAAACCTGTCAATCAATAGCCGATAAATTTTAACCAACGTCGTTGATATATTTGTCATCTTTCTGATCAAAAACGCCATGCTTATGCAAATAGAAATATCACAAAAAACCAATAAGGTCTTTTAGAGAAAAGCGGCCTTGCTGAAAAACCATAAGAACATGATATGACGAACGAAGCGATAATAACGTGACTTAGTGTCCCTAAAAAAATGATGACGCTAGCGAGGAAAAAGCGTTTTATAAGAAAGGAAGTCTTAAAGATGGGCCGTTGAAAGAACTGAGAGAAATCTGTTTGGCAAGTGTTTTTTCAAATTAATGATCACCACGGTTGAAGCGAGTCAATAATTAACCATCTGACCAAGACTGCTTATAAACTGAATTCTCTTGTGCCTTTCTTTTTTCTCGATAATCCAGTGAACAGTCTTGAACAGATTTGTTCCGAAAACACCTTGATGCGAGTCTGCAGTCATGAACTCATGCGATTAATTTCTTTTCTTTTCTTCTGGTATTTTCCAGGAGCCCACCAAGTGACCTTAAAACTGATAACCTACAAGGCATAGTTCTCTTTTACGCGATACCTTCTGAGGGTGGTTTGCTACAAATATATACTAAAGAAAATTTTCCCAATATTTCCTTATAGTCCTAAACTTCTCAAATACAAGGCATGAGTGCCAAAGGCAACCTATTATTTTCGACATTGTTTTTGTTTATTAAAGTAATGCGTGCCTAATAGAGTGCGCGGTTTTGAGGATTTCTCGCCAAATTTTCAATTGGAACTCAAAAAGTAATCCGCATTGCTTTGGTTTTTCTTCACTAAGTATTGTGGTGATTGGTCCAGAAAAATCGCTCCTCTCTCTCAATCAATCAGGTTCAAAACCACAACCAATCGCGAGTTTTCCCGCAGCATAAGCAGTTTTTACTTCGGTCGCGGGCATTTTCCTTCACCCCCATGAACCGTTGTGATTGCTTTTATTTATTTAGCGACACTAAATCTAAAACTCTTTGCAACTGTTCCTTAAAATGCCACGCAACGCTATTGCATGACATCCCACAAAGTAGTTGCAAGTGAGAGAATTCTGCTCATTGACCATCGCATCTGGATGGTGCGGGTCACTTACGAAATCGAATCGCCTTACTTTCAAAAAGCGTCTTTTTGGAGTTGCATCACCTAGCAATTATAAGCTATACATTGTTTCGTAGCTCAGAAATAAAAATTGTAAAAAAGAAACAGTACAAAAAAGACGCAAGCAACGAAAAAGCCCATAACTTCTTAATTTTGATGAGGCGACGTCAGGTCGGTTTTCAAAACATGACTACGAAATGTTAGTTTGGTGAAATAGAAAAACAATGTTGAGGTGATGATAAACCAAGAATGAGTAAAGGAACTCACGATGGAGAAAATTCAGTCAAATTGTAAATGGCGAATCGAACTTGGAACAAACGCCAAGAAGTACTCCCCTGATGATGTTGACAGGTCAGCTAGGTACGAAACGCGAGGTCATTTTATGCGCTCGTCGCCTCAGCCCTCGATTAAAAAGGACCACAGGCTTCTATTAACATTAACTGTTATTTGTCCGCCATACTAAACCATCAAGACAATTAGAAGCCGTAGAAAATAGGTTTTCATTTATAAATTAAGGCAAATGTGGTCAAATTGCTTCGTTAAACAACAAAATCTAAGCAAACTGTCTAAAACTGACAAAATTTAAGCGATCCGAAGTTACCATTTCGATTCGATTTGTCAGATGCTTCCTGTCCTTATTACTTCGAGTCACCTGTTTGAGAACGCTTAAATTTCATTTGTGAAACATAAAAGAATCATGCTAAAAAGGCTCTTCTAATCTTTCAATCGAGATAAATGGATGGAAATAAGAAATTTCTGTTATGCATCTGACCAGCTCATAGAATGTTTCCCTTTCGGATATACACAACTTGAGCTTAATGGAAAACGAACAAAACTATAATTTCTTTTTATGTAAATTATGCCTATTGATATATGGCTTCATCATTTAGCGACTTGGCGGTAACTTTTTTCTTCTTCGCAAAAACGTACTTTATACATCAATCCTTTTTCCTTCTATGAGAGAGCTCTAACTCGGTTATGAACTTGATTTGAACTAAGCTTTCTATAGTTATCAATCGAATTGAAAATATCCTATGTGGTTAAATAATATGTTTCGTTGTTTTAATCTCAAAATGTAAAATAAAAAATCAGTGGAAAATCAACTTGCATGAATGATTTAGTAGATTTACTCAAATTAAAACATTTGTCGTAATTTTGACCTGTTAAATTGCGTTTAATTTTGAACATAACGATAAATGTGTCTTTGGCAGGACGTATTTTTTCTACATAGAGTGACAGCTAAAAGATCTTGGAGATTTTCCTTATACTTATCCTTTATTTTAAGTTTACCACATGGTTTCCTACCAAAAAGCGAGAGTCTGAAAAAAAGCAAAACTAAAGGAATTCTCCATGAGTTTCTGTCAAGTCCCATTGATGGAAACCGTAGGATTTAAATTGATTTTCGAAAGAGTAACATTAGGCATTTCAAATTTTTAAAGAAATTTGCATAAAGCGCTTACATAAGTGTCTCTTTCAACTGATTGCGACACTTTAACTTTAAATCGAGAAAAAAAACTTACCTCAGTGATCCAGAAACCAGCAATAGCTATTTTGCTCTCCTCAATCTCCTTAATTTAGCCTGAAATGAAAATTGTCAAATCACTGAATGGATCTGATGGTTTATCAACTGTAAGTCAGCTCAGTACGCGAATATCAAAAAAATCGATGCAAATTTACATTAATAAAACTATTGGTCAGATTTTAAGAGCTTGGTCACTCTAGCCAAACACAACACAAGAGATTGTAACACCTCATTTCGTGACAAGGATCCCTCTTACATTTTAATACAATAGTCAGTCACGCAAGGTCGGTAATGACACGTCACGTGGCTTACTGACCAGTGATATAACCAGCGATATCAAGGGAAAAACTTCCTCTTGTAAAGAAATTTAGAGATCCTCGCAGCTAAGAACACTACTAAACTAGTAGTTGAAAATAGTACCTGAAAAAAATTCAGGCCCGTACGGGATTTGAACCCATGACCTCTGCGATACCGGTGTGATACCGGTGCAATTCAGTAGCGTTCTTGGCTGCGAGGATCTCTTAATTTCGTTTCTTCACCGCAGTACAAATATATGAATTTCATGTATCTAAAATCGTCATTCCTCTTGTAAGGTTAATAAGAAAATGTGCAATTGAGGGAAAGATCCGGTGAGTTATTTCAATTTGAAAGAATTCATTGTTGGGGTAGCTAATTTCATAATACAAAATAATTTGGTTTTATCAACTGAGATGACGTTTCGTTCTGACGAAGGGTAAACCCTCGAAACGTCAGCTTAAGAAACTCTTTACAACGGCCAATTTACATTATCAACTCAGTTAATAAAACCAAAGTATTTTATAATACCCCAACCGACGCAGCACCACAGTTTCTTTTAAAACTTACCCACTTTATTCATAGTACAACTTCAGTCTGTCCAATTACAATTGATATGATGTTATAACGAAGTGCAAGGAACTCAATGATGCACAGTATAATGAGTTATGTCACCTCTTCTGGGTCTGAATTTGTCTAACTTGTACTATAAACTCTCTCACTATATATATTATATACATATACATGTATACTTAGCACTGCTACCACAGCATTGAGCACTTTATGCCAAGGTAGACTCTACCCCCACATTCATTTATATACATATATATATATATGTATATATACACCCTTTAGCAGGAATTTCCTGGAAATCTGATTGGTTATCTGATCATAATTATTGTTAATTGTTTTCTGGCAGAGAAGTCAGTAAGTTGTAGTTGAATATGGGTGTTCTGTTGTCATTCTTCAGACTGCTTGGCTGCCTTGCTAAGGACCCCTTATGAACGACTTCACGAAGTTTCCGGTTTTGATACAGAGTGGAATCTAAAGGCGAAATTATACGAACCAACAGACACCTATCAAAAGAGCACGTGACGAGGATCTGATCGGAAAACCTTAACTTATCTTATGTCAACTCAGGAAAATATCATTTATATTTTCCATTTTTTGCTTAAAACGATATATAGATATATATATATAAACCCGTTTTCAAAAGCGTCGCAATTTTAAGACATATATGAAATATATACACCTTTTGTTTTTCCTTTCAAATGGTGTTGATAGAGTAAGTTATAGGGACATTTTCTCAAAAGGAAAGTACAATAGCCGCTAACAACAACAACGGTGTCTTTTCCTTTGCTATGAAATATACACGCATTGTGCATCATCTTTTCGATGAGAAAAGAAAAGGTATACAAATATATTTATTGTGTATTTCTAAATTGCAACGCTTTTTGAAGGCGGGTGTGTATATAGAGGTTTCTTAGCCCTTAAGCATTTGTTTGACAATATTTTGACACCGTCACAGTTTTCTGATTGCCTCTCTTGCCAATATCTATTAAAATAATCAAACAACTCAATCTACATTTGTCATGATTTCAACGAATAGCTTTTTATAATATCTTGAGCTCCTTACCTGAGAAAAAGCAATAAACGACTAAAATTTGGAAGATTTATGACCAAAAGACACGCATTGATTGCACGATTCCCTGTTGCTGGTGCACGTCAACTCCGGAGGAGTAATTTTCAAAAACGAATGAACAGTATTCCCTATAATTTTAGGTTTCCCTGCTATGATATACATAAACTCTTTCCTAATCCTCTCTTGTTTCCCCAGTGAGCCATTCGACCGGTGAAATACACACGGTTTTGTGCTTTTGTCACCGAACTCGCGGCGGACATAACTTATCACCAAAATTCACGTATTCGGTTGAAGAAATGTAAGTATTCCGATCCTAGATTTCATTACAAAGTCCTCGCAATTTGTCGCCTCTCGTTTTACCAAAACCTGAGTGTTAATCCCCCCTATTATTTAGACTACTTGCAACTAGTCGGAGAAACGTTGTTTACTTTCCTCATTCCGTCTGTGGAAAATAGATGTTATCGGTCAGTTTGACGGTTCGCGCAAGACACTGGCTCTCACAACTGTGCAGAGAATAGACTGTGAAAAAGTTTAAATCCCAATATTTTGTCATCGTCTTAAAGCAGACTTCCGTTGAAGTTCTGTCATCATCCCGCCTTTCTCTAGTATCAAACATAAATATTTCCATATTTCTTTTGTTTGTTTCTTTTGTTTATAATATCACCAGAATGCTACTAAATAAGCTTGTCAAAGATTCCATCTTTCTGTTATAAATCATTAATTGTATTGCCCAGGCGGTGCAGCTAAAGGAAAGCCAAAAGCACTGTTACTGTACTTACTATGATTTGAAGTTTAGCTGGAGAGCCACGACTGTCGATTTAGTTAAAATCAGGTAACGCAATTTTTATCTTCCAACCCACAAATCGTGTTTGTCTTCAGTTCCCACAAGAAATCTCTCGGTTTTCAGTGGCTAATGAAGTTGTTATGCTAATAAAGCAAAGTATAATACTATTGTCTAACCGATGCAGATCTGAAACTGTTAAATTTCTTTCACGAATTTGGAAGTTCCGTTCTTGTGACGATAAATCGTTTTGGTTGACATAAAAGGAAATACCAGACTGTCTAACTTAAACCTACGTAGAATGTCGTCAAGAGCTCTGTAAGGGATTTGAGTATTATATGTCAGATAGGTCAAGTTGAACTTTAAAACAAAAAAAAACCCCGCAAAACACGTACTTGAGGCCCAATGAACATCATTAAATTAAATCGCGGATCGAGGTTCCTTCTTACCTCGTCTCGCTCATTTGTTAAATTCGCCCATCTAAAATGAAACATTTACAAGCTTGAGACAGATCTTTGAATTTAGTTTGGTGCAAGATAATTGCTAACCAGTGGGTGTTTTTATTGCGTTTTGGCATAAAGTGGTTTGTTTGCGAATAAGCCCCGGACGACGTGAATACTGTACGTCATGTTGAACAATGTCCGGAGTTTAAGTGGCGTTAGATTCCTGTCTCAGTCCGAATAGTCACCTTGACAACGGGCGATAAAACATGACTGAACTAAAAGCATCTTAATGGATGTCACAAAAGAACGCCATTATCTAGATTATTGCATCATTTGTACTGTCACTCAGGAAATATTGTTTTATTGTTGGGATATTTAAAATTCAAAACAAAGTTCTCTGCGTAAAAATCGTAATTAAATCTGACTGTTGTGTCAATTTTTTTAAATCCATGGCGCTTTTCTACTGCAGAAATTCATAATTAGTACGTGAAGCAAGTTATGAGTGTCGTATCGAAAAATGCAAATTTGGTTTGAAAAAGAAGGGAATGTGAAAGAGATGTAAATATTGAGGGCTGTAGCTGCTGCAGGGAACAAACCGCAAGTTCACAAGAAATCGATACTAATTAAAACTTTCGACCTTTCTTGCAATGAGAGAGAAACTGCTATTGCAACATGGAGTAAATAGACCATGTAATGGAAACTTTAAAAAAATGGAGACGTCTATTTACCACTCATAGATAACGTCAACTTAAATCAGAAGTTGGAGAAATGACAGCCTGAAATACTTATTTGAAAACGTTTGTATGGGAAGAAAAATGAAACTTAGTTTAAACAGACAAGTGTCTGTAAATTTCCGGAGTCAAACGAACACTTAGCTACATAAACTTTCGTAAGATGTCCTCATTAAGGGTTCTTGTGGTTTCAGTTTTTAACTGCCAGTTTGGAGAAGAGTTTGTCATTTAGAATACTGGTACATGGCAACTGAGGACGCTTGCTAATTTTGACGCTGACACTTTGACGCAAAGGACCGATCAACCCGATCGTTAGTCCATTTCGAATTCCTCTGTGATGCCATCAGGTTAAGCTTTCTTCACCACTACTTTTTCTGTGTGTTCTGGGCGACTGAAAATCGTTTTTGTGAATCTTAGATTTGAAAGGAACTTGGTATGTCTTGATCTGCTCCGGAAGAACTATCATCAAATGACGTCACTATCAAAATGAGAGCTATCTGAAGTCTTCCGCTGAGGGCCTGTTCGCAACGCGAAAATGTTTTGGTTATGTTCATGTTTCTTTTTTAACTTTTGTAGGGCTTAAAATCAAGCCGCGTAATTCTGACACTGACTGTCATGACCACTGAGCTGCGGAGAAAAATTCTCTTGGTCTTTCAGTTTTTCTCTCAGATCTTTCGTGAATAAGAGGTACATTACCGTTTAACACCACAACTGTTATGAATTTCCCAACTACGATGAGTTTAGTATCTTATTTGGTAACCTTACAGAACTCGCAATTGATCTTTTTCATCATGCTGGCTCAGCGGCACTCTAAATCTACGGTGACATTGAACGCTTTTGATTGGAGTAGACTTGACATTGTCATAGCAACATAATTTTGACTTGGATCCCATCTACTTCTAAGATGTTCAGTTAAAACTTTGCGGCTTTACACTTAGTTTTCTTTCCAAACAACGTTGGGCTAACATTTGAATTATTTCAAAGGCTGAAAGTTCTTATGGATTAAAAAAACGTGCGCAAAAGCTGCAGCTATGTTCTCTCGTTCACGATGTCTCGTTCAATAATATTGCTCCTTTTTGCACTTCTTATCAGATGTAACAACAGCTGTTATCTATAAGGGTGATATCACTCCATAATTTCAAATTGAAATCTTCTCAACAATTTTTTACCGGTATTTAGCGTTTTGTAAGCATTTTAAAAAATATTTAGCCCACAATATTTTGCAATTGATCAGCAAAGTTGGAATACAGTTTGTCGGGTTTTCTCCTCTAAGAAACAATTAGACAGGATAGGAATAGCTTTTCACGCTGACGATCTGTCATTTGCTGGGTAAAAACATTTTTCAGAAATGTGATATATCATATTCCTATTTAATAAAGCTACTGATTCAGAGTGGCTCAATTCATGAGTCAAAATTTACCATACCAGTAGATAAACTAGAACGAAATCTAACTTATTTTGCAAAGCGGTTATTTCAATTAAACAGAAGTCGTTGCAAACTCATGAAGCTCAGTAGATTAAGACAGCTTAAGAATTGATGAAGAATTCAAACGTAGCAAAACATGTTTTGATCATTGCATCTGAAGATCTCAGTTTACATACGAAGAATATTCAACGATATGAAAGAGAAATCACAGTTGATAATCGGGCTGTTTTCAATTATACACATATGACCAGAGTCTATTCTCGAAAATGCATATTCTTACTGTGCTTCTTTGAGTAAATTGCCTGATAAACTTGTTTAATGGTTTTGAGATACATTACCAACATGGCGTCATGACCAGTGTAAGTTTACTTGTGTTGTCTTGACTATGTTCTGTTGCTAGACAAACAGTGTCTTTTCCTTTCCTCACTTAATTTTCAGCGCCCTTAAATAAACTTTTTTTCTTGGGTGTTTGGTATCGCAGCCACGGATATCGCTCAAAATCTTTGAAATTGGATAAGCAGCTGAAACATTACGTATAATTCCCTCGCTTTTTGGCGGGAAATAATAAAATAAAAGCGATATTTTCGCTTCAGTCAACAACCCAGGTAAATAAATAGGTTATGAAGGTGGAAAGAGATATCGGCAGGATAACACGTATGTTATTTGATTATTTCTCTGCCATTAATGTTCTCAGATAAAAAAAAAATGTAGCGAAAAAGTTATTTCTCGAAATGTTAGCCTCAAGCCTTACAGAATTTGATGTAATTTTTTTAGGACTTTTCCCTTTCTTCAATATGTTTTGTTTAATAATACGTACACTTTTATTGAAATGATAATGAGAAATATTGGGTGAGAGACACGAAAATAAAGCGTTTGCAGTGTAATTCACGGCATGATAAAGCAATATTGTTAACAGACAGAGTCTTCTTTTCTTCGGTTACATGTAAGGCTCGAAACTAAGAACTTTCGCAAAAGGTTCACACAATTATAAAGAGATCTTATTTCGCCCACACAAGTTATAAATTGCAATTTTTCGTCAGGTTAATAGTATTTTCATCTCCAGAATGTAAAATTCTACGTGAATTTTCCTATATCATCTAAAATGATTCATATTCCTTTGGGCTACAGTACTTTAAAATTGACTTTACGCAGTGAAAGAATCGCATAGATTTTGTTGTTTAATTTCGCGAAGAGGTCTCGAATTTGCCTGTAGGTTCGTTTCCACAGTTGAAATGGACGTAGGTATTACAAGATGGTAAAATTCCAACTAGATTTTTTTGTTTTGTTTTTCCTTTTTGTTTTAAGGGGATAAACGCTTACGTTGAGAGCAGGGGCGGCCCGAGAGCGTAATGAATCCTGAGTGAAAGTTGAAAATGATTGCTTTTGGTCCCCGCTGGTGTCAATTCCCGGCTTTGTATCAATAATAACAAATAAAATGTCCGACTCCAAATTTTTTGTATCTTTACTTACCAGAAAAGCTTTGGTGGTCGGGCGAAGGAAGAATTCTAATAACCAACATTGGGTTAAAGAAAGGACGTTTGGAAAAGGGATTCTGCATATTTTTAAGACACCGTCGTTGTAGTAATATTTAAATTTGCGTCGAAATTCTCTTTCATCAGAACGCTAACAACACTTGGGAAGCAAATAACATCAACATCAAAATGATTATTACAAAATACCTTAATGAAATCCTCGAGTACGGAATCCCCTTGTTCAGATGTGATAGTAAACGGGCTGATTTTTACGGTAGATTATAGCGTCCGATTCGCAATTAGAAAAAGCGAACCTGATAAGAGCGATGACTCCTTGGGCCCGCGTTGCAACAGGAAACGCTCTTCCCGATAAATGGTTAAATGACACCACTTTTGCTTTCAGTTTTTACGTAGAAGGCGGAGTCTAACGATGGTTAATTTCCAGGGCGGTAGTACAAAGTATGTGTGTTGAAAAGTGTGCTTTCTACGTGTTTTAATAAGATGTTAAAAAATTTTATTTTTCAAACGACTTATCGATCTTGCACTGTAAATGTGAATCAAGTACAAGACTTAGGCATGTCCAAAGACAGAACCCATTTCAAAAGAAAATAAATCTTATTTACACTATTAAGATTCAGTGTTTTTCAGTCTAATGTCAGACATTACAAAACATTGTCAATTGCATAGCATTTGAAGTCTCTTGCGCAAACAAAACTCCTACAGCTCGATATAATTGGGTTTTCAACCTTTATTTGGGATACCTGTAAAATTTTTGGACCAGCCACGGAGAAAGAAATGAATTTGAAAATAACTGTCACAAAAGATATTCATTAGATCCGGTGGGAATATTACAAAGTGTAAAATCCAATCAAACAAAATAATTTTCTTCTATGAAAAGAGGCTGCTAGACAATTGTGATAGCAACTGCTTGCCCAAGTATTCAACTTATTTTGAAAGCTAAAACCGTTGAATCATCTAGTTTTAGCAAAGTTTTTTTTTTTAGTCCTTCATTAACCTGGTACTCAGGGGGGCAGTGTTTCATCTCAGTTTTAAAATGCAGTAAAATGTTTTAGAGCTGCTTAAAACACGTTTGAAGTCAGCTTAAGTATCTCGATTGGGAAAATACGCTAAGAAAGAGAAAATTAACTTGAAAGTGAAAAGAAGGAAAGTTTCGCAATTCAATTGTTTTTGTTTTGTTTTTCTCTGAAGTCATATTTGACCGCTAATTACAAATCATTAGAATATCTCATTTTTCCCCCGGAAGTTTTGTAATAGTTGAGACCAACCCACTAAATTTCCTATCAAACCTAACGTCTTAAACAAGATTGAATTCATCAGAAACTCGGTTTTTTCTTTCAAAGTTTGCCAACCGTCTAACCCTTCGATTGAAACCACGTCATTTTATTGCTTTTTTCGTTTTTTTGTAATTCTGAAAGATCGGTTCAAATTTTAAAAAGTATTATGGAAAGTTGAATTCCACTTTTATTTTGAACAGGAAATTAGTTGTTACAGTTCGCTCAGTCACGTGCATTTTGCACAATCTAGCAGTGATGTGATAATGTGTCAATTCCCAGGACATATTCAAATATCTGTATTTTAAGAAAGTAAAATAGAATGTCGCTGAGTAGATTTTATATAGAAACGGAATTTAAATAATTGATTTGTGTGAGCAAATAAAGTACAACGAACAAAGTTTTAATGTAAATCTAAAGTACGCGCACGTTAGGAAAGGAGCTTTTAGCCGACAGTGCATATCCTCGATCAAAATACTTCGTAGTGCTGTGAGGAGTGTTGTTGTATAATCAACTGGTAAACCCGATTCAACAACCTCGGCGGGTTAAGCTCTGGGCTTAAATTAAACGCCACGGGGTGTTATCACCTTTTCGCCATGGAGGAGCGGTGCTTTAAAACTCCAGTTAAAGAAAAGGGCGGTGCATGCCACAAAATGGTTAGCTAGCACCCTGATAAGTAATTTCTCGAGGCAAGTTTTAATCTCACCATTTCATTGCCCCGGTGTCGCAGAGGAAAAACATTGAAGAGAGGTAACCCTTACTCCAACTCTCAGTTCAATAAATAATATTTGCTCTAACAAGAGATTAAGTTGGTTTTTTAAAAGGATAATCTTGAAATACGGCGCAACTCAGAATCAAGATGAAATTTCCTGGATTACAGGTGTAAAGTTCCGCCGGCTTTGTCGAGCAAATTCAATTCCTGAAATTAGCCTAGACGTCAGTTGGAAACATTGAATTTCAGCAGAAAGCTGGCACCATCTAACTACTGGCTTTCCATAATTGCAGACAAAAGCTGAAAATATGCAAATCTTATTTCACCTGTTATTAGATGCAGACTCGTTTCCGTTGAAATTCATTAACGTTACCAATATCATAACCAGTTAACTCAAAGAACATTCTATACGTTTTCTGTGAAACCTATCCGGTTAAAACACTTCGTGCGGTTTCCTTTTTTTTTTGCCATTCACTAACAATATTAGCTGCCGGATTGAAAACGTTTGTGTAACTCTCAATTTTTCTTACGCTCGCTGGCTTCAAGTCTGCTTATTACTATTAATTAAAAATATAGCTTGTGCTAAAAACCCAATTTTTTTAACAACACAATTTATAAAACAAGGACTGAAGCGTAAATATTTCTACATGATAGAAAAATCCGGATAATCTAGGTTCGACTTTATACAGATCGAAAGCCGAAAGAAATGATGAACTTGAAATATGCTCTCGTGAAAATTTAGAACTTAACTCCAAATGACTCTATTTCCGCAGAAACACTTCCACGAAAGAAGAGCCGAGTGTCCAATGAAACCGCAGTTTTCGTGTTTCTTTTCTTCAACGCAACGACTTTCGAACTCGTTTGAAGATAAATTTCTTACCTGTAGATCGCACAGTAATGCGGTTCAACACATTCCGAAAATTTCCACTGCAGTGGGCGGTTCGCGGGGCCAGCATGTAATCTAATATACGTTAGGTATAAAGAGCATCTGGGTGAGATGTAACTGTGTTGGCAAAATAACAAAACTAGCATTAAATTGCAGCTTGTAATCTCCTGTAGTTCTGTTTTAGTTACAAGGAAGATTGGTGTTTTTAGGAACGGTCTCGTGTCTGCCCTCACGCAGACTTATAATATACGTCTGCCGCACGTTTGCGAAAAAACCAAGCATCTATTATTGAAAGACTGTTGCAAGCTGACTAAAGTAATGGATTGGAATAAAGTATACAATAATAGGCTGATAGTTTGACAGAGAAAAAAAAAGCTCATTGAAAGAACGCACCGCTCGACAACTGCAAAGAAAGTTCAGCAAATACACTGCATGGAAAATAAAGCATGACCTGCTCTCGCTGCATGGACGATTTTCTCACGTTGTCTTTTAGCAATTCTGTTTGGTCGAATTCAATGCACCGAGGCTTCCCACAGGGTCTTTTAACCCTACATGACGGCAAAAGGAAGCAGATTTCAGAGGAAACATTATTAATGAGAAAAAAAATTGAAAGTAAAGTTTTCCCGAATTTTCGCTTTTTTTCGAAGAAAAATTAAACCGGGCTCCATTATGGTCAAACTTGAAATAATTTATTATGGTGTTTTGAATTTTTTTTTTTTTTTGAAGATAATGATGAGTAATATTCTTCAGTTTCGCGACAAATTTGACAGAAAGGGGAGTGCAATTTTCATCGTTATAATGATATACTATTCAGATGGAAGAAATTTTTATGTAACTGAAGGATAAATGTCTTCATTTAACGTTAAATCATCATGTGACCAGTAGAATCGACAACTAATTTGACCAAACGCTTGCTAGAGAGGAATAAGTAGGAATAAAAGAAATACAATTTATTTCCGCCGGCATAAATATTTTTATGGCGCAAAATACATTTATGTCTAAGAACTGACATATACTGCATTACTATTATCATCACTTTGAAGGGCAGAATTGGAAAATATGAACTGAAAAAATAGAAAACAAAACAGTTTGAATTAGCACGCAAACTTTTACGAGTCAGCTGGCTTTTATTTTTCATTCGCTAACAGACATGAAAGAGAAGTCCGAGCTTAACTATTTCTTATTTGTTTATCAGCTGCTTTTATCGTACGATTGTTTCAATCTCGCTTTTCTTTGGTTTATTTCATCGGGCTATTACAGTTAGCTCCAAAAATATCCATTTTAGTTCGCAAAATGCACCACAATGCTTAACGGACAAAGTGACGACAACATCCATTTTATATTGACAACCTCCGGAAAGAACACATTGAAATTTTTTGCCTTTGCGGCACCTAATAGCGAAGAAATGATATAAGTATAGAACTCCCAGTCACAAAAAAGTATGCTTCTCATCGTCCAAAAGGACTGTCTCTGGGACACCCACGTCAATTGTGTGGGCAACTCGCATTATTTTTTAGAAGACTGACGTGCATGTCGCTAAAAGGTGTTTTTGTATTTCGGTCCTTGTTCCCATGTTATTCCTCAGCCTTACTTAGGGCTAAGCTACCTGTGGCCAGCTCTTCATTGTTCTGCATCATGAACTTTCTTACCTTCTTCCTGAATAGATGGATTATTTGTTATGGAAGTGAATTTGTTGTGTTGCGAAATGATGATGGTTGACTTTCTCCACTTTAATAGCTACCAGCGTCCGCCAGTTGCCACGGGCGGCGTCCTGTTAGAGCATGTCAGTTCCTTCAAGCTGCTCGGAGTTTACATAGCTGAAGATCTGACTTAAGCGGTACGCTGTGACTTAATGGTGAAGAGAGCCAACCGAAGGCTGTTCGCGCTCAGGTCGCTTAGACGCTGCGGTGTTCCAGCTTCAGATATAATTCTGGTCCACAAATCTCTTGTGAGATCATTCTTAGAAAATGCGTGCGTTGTGTTTTCAAACTTGCCGCTTTATTTGTCAGATGCCATCGAAGAAGTGCAAAGGCGCGCCCTTCAAATTAATCTTCCTATGTTATCATACACTGAAGCCCTGACAGTGAGTAATTTACAATCACTTAAAGACAGAAGGATCATGGCGTGCATGTAGTCGCATAGTAGATACTCAATATAGTTACGCATTAAGACCAAGAGAAAGAAATTCAAATATCCGTGGCACTTCGACCAACAGGTTTAAGAACTTTATCTCAAACAAATACGCCTTATGCATTGGATATGACTAGTTTCGCCATTATTTTGCCATGATATGCTTGTTGGTTGCCGATACAATCAATTTTTCCTTAGCTATATATTTTTTGTTCTTGGTTCATTATTCTTTGTTAGCCAGACCTGTAATTCAGTTATTTATAATGCAAGAGGTATTAATAAACATATCCGCACCACACAAACTGCTACCGGGTGGAAATCTACTAGTTACCAGTACTTTACGAAATTGCACTCTGCCTGTGCAAGGAACGCCTGACAAATACTGTGTCTTACAAACATCAGATCATCGTTCTTCGGGTGGGTAAGGTGTTTTCACGTTTGATCGCGTCCCGTTTTGTGGTTGAGGTTTCGTGTACTTGTTCCGTTTCAGTTCTGTGTTTTCTTTGCTATGTCTTACGCGCCTTTTCTTCGGCTGTGTCGTGGTTTTGTTGGCAGACAAGTTTTAGGACCGATCTTCGCGCGAAACATGTCAAACGGACAAAAACAAAAGGTTCTAGTTACACGAAACGTACCTCAAGCTGCTATTGAAATTATCAAGTCATCTCAGAGGTAAATATCATCTTATAACTTGTCTAGAATAGCGATTTCTCCGACAAAATCATTTAAATACGATTTCACACATACAAAATTTGACTTTAGAACTTGTACACGTGTACAGAATTTTAGACAACAGGAAATAGAATTGTAGTATTTTAGTTGTCATTGTTTGTTTACTCTGCTATTAATATGGAATTAATTTGCTCTTAAAAGTAATGTGTTTACTATTTCTGGGGAAATATTAGTCAGTTATTGTTGTCTTGTTTCAAGTGCGAAGACTTAACGACAGAGGTTTCGTCGTCAACGGACAATTAAATTCTGATAAATTGTGCCCTGGGCCACAAGTTCGTAATTTTATGCGTCATCGCCTTAAATTCTTATGCTCATGGAAGAGATTAACACGTTATTCTTTGGAATTATCTACACATGATTAAAAAAAAAACAGGGAATAAGATCAGAATTAAGCACATCAGCATATTTTTATCTTTATAAAACATTTAATTCTTAAGGCTAGTTTGTAAAGAATTGCTTTGCTGTAGGAAGAAAAAATTTTGATTTGGAGCTAACAATAGTTCCTCAGGACTAACTAAAAGTTATCTTAATTTTGCCAAGGAACCAATATGGCCTTTTAATATGTGTATCACGTGAAGATGATGTGAAACAAAATGCAACAAAGACAAGAAACAGTACATAGCAATTACTAATTAACATAATTTATTGCAATGATTCATTCTAACTTAAGTTTAGTACTTGGAGTGTTTCTCCTCTCATACTCTTATATACACTCTTAATACACATAAAACATTCTAAAGTAAAGCTTAAGTCTGAAACTCCCAAGATCTGTTTGTTAATTCTCCCTTCCAGCTCTACACATTTCTTTATAAATTAGTTACAAGAATTTGGTTTTAGATCTAGTTAACCAATTCAAACCTGATGAGTTTGAGTATTCTTGTGACTAAATTGCTGGATAATGTATGAATGTTATCAGGAGTTATATATTAATAACTTTTGGGATTTAAGGGTTAGGGGATTTGCTGTATGTTACATTAAAAATCTTCTTGTCTTGTGTGCAGCTGTGATCTGGACTATTGGGACTCAGAAGATCCAATTCCAAGAGATGAACTCCTGAAGCGAGTAGCTGGTCTTGATGGACTTTACTGCCTTCTTACGGAAAAAATAGATTCTGAGTTGCTAGATACTGCTGGTGGGTTAACGAATGCAAGAAATGAAAATAAAAATTGTAGTGTGGGGATATTTAACCATGAATTAATTAGATTAGTTAGAAGTGCTCTTTAGTATAAATAATTATGCACACATTCTGTTAATAGCTTTTGTGGATTTGTGAAACTGCATCCACCCTTTGCCCAAAAACAGTTAACTGATAACAAGTCAAGGTTTCTGTTGGGTTAGGGGAGGAGTAGGTGGGCAGCTACTTAGATATTGACATTAATCTATAAGTTCTTACAGAAAGAATCTCACATTACATTGACAGTACCTTGTGAAAAACTTTTTAGCTGTAGCTCCCCTCTGCTCTACCCCCTTTGCTTTACCCATGGATTGAAAATATATAAAACATTCCTCTTCCTTCCTTGTTGGTTAATTCTGCTGAACAGAAAACTGAAAAAGTAGTGAGAAAGATGTACTTGTCTCTGTTATCCAATGTAGGACCTCAGCTGAAAGTTGTGAGCACCATGTCAGTGGGTTATGATCACATCAGTTTACCAGAAACAACGAAGAGGTGAGGATTCCAGGTTAAGAGAGTAGGTTCAACACCATGATGGTTTTGCATGATGGACAACGTACTTCATTCTCACAGGAAACAAGGCTTTCTCTGAGGAGAATGTATTCAGTGCTTGAAAATGAATTATTTTAGTTGCCACAGTGATAAGAAAAATATTGGGGAAAGATGTTTTATTGTTATGTCATGAGAGCAGGACTAAATTCACAATGAGGAATCAAACCTCAGACCTTCAGATTGCATGCTCTGATGCTCTACCACTGAGCCACAGAAACTCTATGGTGAGTGAGATGTCCTGCATGCTGCGAGGATCAGCAATGTTGACAGTGTCATGTTTGTAAATAGAATAAGAAAGATGGGAAGTTTTTAGCTCGGTAAAGAAATAGAGAAAGGTGTTTTTTTTCCTTATGAGCATGGGGTTGATTCCTTGTAGGGACTCAGAATTTTTTCTCTTTCCCGTGCTTGCAACAACAAAAAAAAACTTCTTTCTCTATTTGTTTACAGAGGTCAAAAGTTACCATCTCTCTTATTCTATTTACCAAAGAGAATTTTTTTGTGGCTACATTTGCATGGAAAGTCACCAATTTGATGACCTGCATTCTGCAATCATATGGCAAGTTGTTAGGTTTTTGTTGTGTAGTATGTGTAGTCTAAAGTCAGGGTGTGTAAAACTTTGTATATAGCACTATCATAGTTGTGTTGCTTTCCTACAAAAAAAAAAAGAAACATTTTGATTTTTTGCAGTGATCTTATGTTGTGAGGTTGCTACATAACATAAATTTGATTTTGACTAGATTCCAGTGGAGCATCTTGGAATCCTCCTATGATTAGAAGCAACTTGCATTTTCTTGCACTTCAAGCAGTTTGCTTTCTCATTTGCTACCTAGGATGTTTCCTTTGTTCTCATTGGCTCCTTATAATGTTTTTGTTTGTTCTCATTGGGTCCTTAGGATGTTTCCCATGTTCTTATTGGCTCTTGTTATGTTTCCTTTGTTCTCATTGGCCCTTGTGATAGCTTTAGTTTTGATTTTACCACACTCAATTGAAATGTGCTTAGATACTTTATAAAGAAACCAAAATAAATATAATTTTCCCAATCTAATCGGTAACATTTTATTTTCAGGGGTATTGCTGTTGGCCACACTCCAGGTGTACTAACAGATGCTACTGTAAGTATTTAGTCAATGGTTAAAATAGATGAAGTGTAATTTCTCCTTCAGGGCCATTTCAACATTACATGAGACAATGTAAATGTCAGGGTAGAGCTGACAGAAGCTTTTGTTTTCTGAAACAATGCAGAACAAAGCAAGCTGAGTGAGTTGAATGACAAAAGCAAAAACATCCTCAAGACTTTTTTTTTTGCCTTTTTTTATGGAGGACACAAAAAACATGTTAAAATTTTTGGGTTTGCTTTGGTCATCTACCTCTAAGCTGTACTGTATATCCATCCAGTTGTGATTACACCTGGTGAAAATATTTGAAGGATCTTAAGGCTCTTGGCAGGAAATGAAAGATCCTCAAAGATCTTATCTAGAATTTTGAGGATTCTTAGAGAATTTTTAAAGATCTTTCAAGGATCTTTGAAGTTCTTGGCATGATCTCTGAAGATCCTACCAAGATCCTTAGGGTGAAAGATCCTTGAAGATCTTGACAAGAACTTTGAAAATCCTCAAATGATCTTTGAAAATTATTTGAGGATCTTCCAAATTCTTGCCAAGATCTTCAAGGATCTTTGAAAATTCTCTGAGAATCCTCAAAATTCTTGATAAGATCTTTGAGGATCTTTCATTTCCTGCCAAGAGCCTTAAAGATCTTGACTGGATCTTCAAAGATCTTGACAAGAACTTTGAAAATCCTCAAGTGATCTTTGAAAATTATTTGAGGATCCTTCAAATTCTTGCCAAGATCTTCAAGGATCTTTCATTTTCTTGCCAAGATCTTCAAGAACTCTTTCATTTTCTTGTCAGGATCCTTGAAGATGTTGCCTGGATCTTCAAAGATCTTGAGAAGAATTTTGAAGATCCTTAAAAGATCTTTGAAAAGTATTTGAGGATCTTTCAAATTCTTGTTAAGATCTTCAAGGACCTCTCATTATCTTGCCAAGATCTTCAAGGATTGTTCATATTCCTGCCAAGATCCTTGATGATCTTGTTAAACTTTAGAGGTCATGTCAAACATTTTGAAGATCCTTAAAGTTCTTGGCAAAAATGTCGTAGATCCTTCAAAATTTTGTTAAGAAAATCAGAAGATACTTAAAGATAGGTTTATGGGGTGAAGCATGAACTTAGCCTTAACCTTGTTAACTATTGAAGAATGGATGTAGAGGTCTGATATGTAAACTTGGTGTAAACAACACAGGTGACAATAGGTTTAGGGCCAAAAAAAGAAACCTCATAGTAAGTTCAAAAGAAAAACTGAACCAAACATTGAAAAAAGGAAGATAAAAATATTTCTTATTGCCATATGAGAATTAGTCATCCTCTTTTAACAATTGAAAAAGGCCACAAAGAAACAAAACAATATTTAAAGATTGATTATACACAACTTTTGAATTGTCTTAATCAAACACTTTTTGAATTGCCATTTTAAATAAATAAAACAAATACAAAGTACTACTTTTATTCAAAATTTAGGGCCAAGTACCTTTGAGCTGTTCCATATTTCCTTGAACAAGCACCCAGGCACTTATTTTATATTCTGCCCAGAAGGAGGGGTGCTTATTGGGAGAAGGCCTCTTAAGCAAGGGGCGCACTTATTAAGAAATTATCAACATGTTCAGATTCCATGGTGCTTGAAGCTTAGAAAGTTCCAGAAAAAACTTGGCTGCTGTAATAGAAACAGGTTTTCCTTTTATCCCTACTATTTAAGAAAGAGAGGGAGAAGGGGGGTGCTTATTTGACAGGCACGCTTGTTTGATTTTATGGCCTAGGAGGTTGGTGCCTATTTGGGGGAGGGTGCTAATTAGAGCCACGGGGTGCTCATTTGAAGAAATACAGGATCTAAGGATAATTATAATCACTGAGTCTGTTTCTTCCTCAAATCATTACACTTTTGATTGATAGCCCTTTGAATATCATGCCACAATTTGTTCATGGTCTTTGCTGAGTACTTCCTTATGATACAACCTGGAAAGAAAAAAAAACAGAGAACTTGTGGGTTGTGGCATTCATCATGTAACTCTTTCATTTTCTGCATGAGTACATTGTACTATCTGTGGACTTGTAGCAGACTTTCAACTCACTTCCACCAAAACTGCAAACTCATCTCAACACAACAACTGATTCATGTCCATTCTGCCAACAATTAATTGACAACACTTATGCTGAAAAAGTGAAATATTTTTGGGATCAAGTGGTGTCCTCTTATACTTGCCTTTCAAAGGGGGAACCATCCCCACCAACATTTCCTCCTATGTGAACACTACCCCTGCCAACCTGGTAGCATGCCATCTTGGGTCCTTCAGGGGTACCTTTTTCAAATGCAAGTTTTCAATTTGTGTACATTTTAATTACTGCTCAAAGTTTCGCAACCAAGAGAAAATAGAGTACTGGAGTGCAAAATCTGATAGTCTGGGGCTCAATGCCCTTGTAGCACTCATTTGTTGTTTATTTAGCTCTTGTAACATAATAAGTGACATCTTTCTTTAGTCATTATTTACCTTCATTATGCCATAATTTCTTTTTGAAGGCCACCCTGACTGTAGCATTACTTCTGGCAACACAAAGAAGACTAATTGAGGCTGCAGGAGAGGTGAAAAAGTAAGTTCCTGAAGTATTTTTTCCAGGCCATTCCTTTAATTTGATTTATTTGCAATCTTTAGCCATTTTAATGCCAATAAAGATGTATAAGTACACCACACAGAGGTATCTTCCTTGAATAGTCCTTTGTTTGATACATGTTTAGATGCAAGTGAGAAAAACCAGGCCTATGTATAGCAACTGTTATAAGAAGTTAAGGCTATTGGTGAAAGTTTGGATTAGGCTGATTGAAAAAAACAATTCTTGTCCCGGTTTACATTACCCTGCACCCTAAGGTACAACATATGATCAGAAAAAAATTTATTAAAAAATTATTAGTCTTTAACCCTTTCAATCTCTAGTTTTTCTCCACAATTGTTGCACAAGCTTGGAAACTAAAATACTTCTTCCCTTCAAATTACACTGACCTTCAAGGAATCCTTCTAACAGGGATCCCACTTACAGAATTCCTACTCACAGGGTACCTACTGACCTGCTTGAAGTACCTTTCAAATCTGCTAACAAATAGCAATCAAAATTATTTCATTGTGACATTTTCTAGTGGAGGGTGGGGAACATGGAAACCTCTTTGGATGTGTGGACCAACACTAACAGGCAGTACTGTTGGCATTGTTGGATTTGGAAGAATTGGTTAGTAGCAGAGAACACAAATACTATTTTATTACACTTTTACTGCTATCTGAGTAACAAGGGTCCTAACCATTTAACTTTTGAAATTGCTTGAGTTACATAAAACTATCCAAACGATGGCAACAAACTTGTCAGCTTGATGGAGTTCTCTTAATATAAGACTTAATTCTCCAAACTAATTCAAAAGAAATTGTCTGAAAGCTCGAAGGGAGGATTACTCTTAAGGGAGATCAACTGAGTGGATAACAGTCACATTCAAGGGAAGGATTTGGGGGGTCTGGACTCCTGTCTAACAGATGGGTATATTTACCACTTATTTGAAACAAAAATTCTTCCAACCATTGGATTGTATAGAGCATGCCAGTACATGTACTCAACTTTGGATATCTGAAGTTTAACTGTCTTGAAATATTTCTTAGCTTATTACATGCTCTAGTGTAGAGAAAAACTCAGTAATTTCTGTCAAATTACAGTTTTGACTACCTTCCTCGATCAAAAAATCCTGTATCCACCACTGACATGAAGTACTGTTTTAAAGGAAAGTTACTGATCTGATCTCAGAGAAAAAACGGAAATCTTGCGTCAAACTACTGTACCTTTTAAATGAACTGATAATATATGATTATTTGAGTAGATAGTTCAGTTATCTTTCAATTAATATCTCTGCATAAGAGCCATGTTTTGCCATTCATTGTTCAGATTAGCCACATCCCAGTGTGTTCTCCTCAATTGCAGGCATTGCTGTGGCACAAAGACTAGCTCCATTTGGTGTCTCTAGATTTCTTTATTGTGATGTCAACAAGAAGCCCGAAAGTGGTAAGACTTTAACCATATATTAACGTTCGTTTCCTTACATGAACGTAGCTTTACAGCTGTGGAACTTTCCATAACAGCCACCCTGAGGACAGAGAAAAAGGGTATTGTTGAAACGTGGCTGTTATTGGAAGTTATAGGGGTGATGTATGACATTTGTTTTTTAAAAGGCATTTGACTATATTTTTTTGTTTTGGTTTTGAAAAATGCTTAGTGTGGCATATCCTTACAAGCGGAAGTATCGCAGGACTGATACCATGAAGGGTGGGTATCGGGAGACAGAGGGGCACAAACATACGGGAGGCAGGAGGCTGGGAGCCCCCTGTCTCTGCCCCCTGAAAACCTAAAATTAATTTGGGTGATTGCATTAAATATCAACTTTTGTTCCATGCTTAATGTAATGGGTTTCAGATACAGTTGAGTGAAATACTGCAGTGTGTACATGTACAGTTGGAGACAATCTGTAGCTAAAACAAATCTTTTGATTTCAGTGGAAAAATTGGTTTCACCAAAGGCAGAGCACGGTACGATTTTACTTTTCATTAAGTGTAATGATGTCTGCTTACTACAAGTAGGTTTGTTATTGTTTGGGATGAATTATAAATTTGCTGGTGGATAAGATAGCAAATCATTAATTAATCTCAACAGGTTAATTGCAGTTAGGGTTATTTTTATGAATTTTTATTTATGTTATGAAAAAAGTCTGCCTTACGCGAATGTAATATCCTCGTATTTCAGTTGACATGGACACCCTGTTGAAAGAATCCGACTTTGTGAGTGCACACACAGCTCTGACAGATGAAACAGCAGGTAAAAATGAATGGCACCTTTTTTGGCTGTCGATATGAAACCAAAACTATAATAATCACAGAGGAATCAGAAAAAGAGAAATTTGTCAACCGTTTTACTCCAATTCTCGTGGCTGTCTACCATATATTACTTACAAAGTTTGTTCTGAGAAGTTGGTCTCATTCAATAGATTAGAGTTCGTAAGGTAGAGATGTTCTCAAAGATGCCAAAAAACCATTTTTTGTAGGAATGTTCAATAGGAATGTCTTTTCCAAGATGAAAAGAAGTGCAGTGTTTATCAATACCAGCAGGTAAGGTGAAAAGGGAGTGTTTTGATCATTGGAGCTTTGTCTTTCTGTTGTAAGAGCTGTCAGTATCTGTGGACGATGTCTTTTTCACAAATGTTATTACATACGTCTGTAGACTCTGTTGAGTTATAGAACACAGATAACGCTCAGCCGAATGTGTCACTGATGTTCTTACCATATTTGTTTGAAATTGTGTTCAAATAACTTGATTGACTTGTTGAGATCGTTTATTTGCAAATTTCTTTATCTTTATTAAGAGGAGGAGTGGTAAACCAGGAGGACTTGTATGAAGCACTTAAGAGTGGACAAATATGGGTGAGTAAACATCTGTTTAGTCAGGAGACTCGGTGACCTAGGAATTAGCGCGCTGAATTGTGCATCGAGAGGTTTGGGTCTGAGCTCTGACTGGGACATTGTTCTTCCTAGGCAAGACTGCTCTCTCAATCCCACCAATCAGGAATTTAGATTAGTAGCGATGGATTTTCAGGCCATATCATGAAAAACTATGGGAGGGGGGCGGGAGAGTACACAGTTATGTCGTGCTCGATGTACAATACATCTCTAGTATATCATTTCCACACAACAGTACTGCTATGATTTGAATGAGACGATTGCCTTGAGAAATCAAAGTATGTCTGGAATTGGCTATCCTCGTTTCCGCCGTGCGTTTCTCTGCTTTTGAAGTACACTCAAAGCATTTTAGTCTGTCCTTAGTTCCTTTGCGCTTTTTTCGTATAAATTAAACCTTTCCCAGGGTTTTTTTTCATAGATAAGTCGCCGAGCGAATCCATGCTGCGCGGGTTCATCGTTAGTCTTATAGAAGAATGGGCATATTCTTCTAATGTTAAATAAAATTTAAGCTGTACTTGCATTTCTGAATAGACGGCAAAATGTGGCATGCCTTAAACCGCATTTTAATAGCAAGTTTTTTTGTTAAAAAGTTCCTCCTCAGCGGGAAGTAGTACATCAGTTATAGGGGAAAAGAACTTGTCGAAGGAAAGCTCGTTATATATTTACGCCTTTGTTATTGATTTTGTTGTTGTTCTTTGTAGGGTGCTGGACTGGATGTTACAGTTCCTGAACCTCTTCCAACAGATCACCCGCTTTTGTCTCTAAGCAACTGCGGTAAGAAAAAAATTTGTATTTTAAAACATGTAGGCATTGAGAGATGTAACAAAAGCAAGACACGCAATTACTGAAGTTGTATCTTGTCAGCTGTTTTTTTTTTTTTTTTCAGCATTTGGGGAGTTAGAAAAAGAAAAGAGATTGTCCGATGTATGATGATATAAGTTACCTTTACTAGAAATTTAAAATGGGACCACGTTCTCTGTTCTCACTTTATTATTTTTCCTACGACGCATTTTTTTCAATTTTGGTCCCCATTTGGAGACTGAAAAAGCTAATGGTAAGCCCTTCAACACAGCGCTTAAACTTTTGCGCATTTGCGAACGTTGTAGTGAATATGGGGCATGCTTTCATGCTGTCAGAGCCAAGTTGCCTCACACGAGTTACACCAACCACACATGCCAGTAAGTCACGGTGTTTTTGAAGAATGTAACTCTCGGTAAAGCTCAAACAGAATGGGTAATCAACAAGATACCCGTTCTTAAGTAAGCTTTGTGTTCGTAAAGAAGGGAGCTTTCCTTTTCCATTTTTACAGATTTCTATGAAGGTTTCAATTTTCTTTCGCTTATTTTGCGGGAAACGTGTTGTTTCTTCTGTTATCCTTCGAAATTTTGCGCGGGGAATTGGCGTGCGGGTGGCCCAAATTGATTCCTTCGCACATGCCTGACAGACATGACATACAATGGGGGAATTGAAAATGTAAGCAAAAAAGTCATTTTGTGCCTTATTTTCCTCGTTTCAGTTATACTTCCTCATATTGGCAGTGCAGAGGAATCCACTAGAGAAGCTATGGCAACCTTAGCCGCGAGAAATCTCTTGGCCGGACTTGCAGGAGAAAGTTTACCCGCTCAAGCTAAATAAGAAGCCTTTT